GTCTAGCACTGATGTTGTTCTTGGAGTTCATTGGCTTTCTTTGATTAGTCCATTTGTGATGGATTACAATGGCCCATTTATGAGGTTCAATTGGCAGGAGAAACTTGTGGAGTTAAAAGGGGATTCAGGACCAAATCCCTCTCCAATCTCAGCCTACCAGCTTCGTCATTTACATTCTACTAACAGGGTTGAAGCCCTTTTTCAGCTCACGTTGGATTCCAACCCTCTTACATTACCCCCCATTATCACATCTTCCCCTTATTCGAGTTCACCCCTTCCATCCTCATCTGAACCCACACTGTAATCCCTCATCTCCCAATACTCCGCCTTGTTCTCCGCTCCCACCACCCTTCCCCCACCATGCCCTACAGACCACTCAATTACCTTAAACCCAAACACACCTCCCATATCAGTGAGACCATACAGCTACCCCTATTTTTAGAAGCAAGAAATTGAAACCTAGGTTAAAAAAAATGCTAGATTCGGGTTTTATCAAACCTAGCAATAGTTCTTTCTCTTCTCCGGTCCTTCTCGTCAAAAATAAGGATGGAACCTGACATTTTTGCATTGACTACAGGGCTCTCAACGCTGCCACCATTAAGGACAAATTTTTGATACCCACCGTGGACGAGTTGCTGGATGAATTGGGGCATGCATCCTGGTTCTCCAGGTTGGACCTCTTTTTGGGCTTTCATCAAATACTCATGGTGCCTACTGATTCTGAGAAAACTGCATTTCGAACTCACAATGGCCACTTCGAGTTTCGGGTAATGCCGTTTGGTTTATGTAATGCACCCTCCACTTTTCAAGCTACTATGAATGATTTATTTCATCCTCATTTACACTGTTTTATCATAGTGTTCTTCGATGACATTCTTGTATATAGCCCCACTTTATCTGAGCATGTCAGCCATTTGGAGACCACCTTCCAGTTATTGCTTTCTAATTGCTTCAGACTCAAGGGGAGTAAATGTTTTATTGGGCACCAATCCATCCAGTATCTTGGACATATGGTTTCTAATGAGGGTGTTCAACCAGACCCTGAAAAGCTTGCTGCAGTAAGAAACTGACCTATTCCTACCACTATCAAGTCCTTACGCGGTTTCCTTGGTCTTACAGGTTTTTACCGTCGATTTGTTTCGGGTTATGCCTTAATTTCTCATCCTCTCACTAATCTCCTCAAAAAAGATAATTTTCGGTGGAATGATACAGCTTATGAGGCCTTTGTTCAGCTAAAAAATGCGTTACTAGCTGCACCTGTTTTGGCCATTCCCAAATTCGACTCTCTGTTCACTATTCAAACAGATGCTTCTGGAAAGGGCATGGGGGCAGTTCTCTCACAGTAGGACCATCCAATTGCTTATTTTAGTAAGCAATTTTGTCCTAAACTCTGCAATTCCTCCACGTATATACGTGAACTGTGTGCCATAACTACTGCTGTTCAGAAGTGGTGCCAATACCTCTTAGGCCGTTATTTTGTCATCCAAACAAATCAGCAATCCATTAAGGAATTGCTATCTCAGACAGTCCTCACACCGGAGCAGCAGAAGTACCTCTTCAAATTGTTGGGCTTTGATTTTGAAATTCAATATCATCTTGGTAAGAGCAATGTAGCAGCTGATGCTCTCTCTCGACTCGACGATCCCCTTACTACAATCACCGATTCTCTTATGGTGTTGTCCATCCCACACTTAGATTTCTTGTCGAACCTCAAAACATCCTTACAAGGTAATCAAGAGTTTATCTCCCTAAGGGATAAAATAATTGCTGCCCCACAGGATTTCTCTTTTTTTTTTTTCCTTAAAGGAGGATCTTATTCTCTTCAAAGACAAAATATGGCTACCCTATAAATGCTCTTTCATCCCACTTCTGTTACACGAGTTTCATTCCACTCCAATGGCGGGGCATACTGGGATTACACGAACACTAAGCAAACTAATGATTAATTTCTATTGGCACACTATCTGCAAAGATGTCAAGGCATTTGTGGAACAATGCAGCACATGTCAGCAAACTAAACTACCTACTCAACGCCAACTTGGTTTATTACAACCAATTTCCCCTCTATCTCAGTGTTGGGAGGATCTCTCACTTGACTTTATCATTGACCTTCCTCCTTACAAAGGATTCACCATAATACTGGTTGTAGTGGACAGGTTCTCTAAGGGCGCTCATTTCGATATGCTTCCAAGATCCTTCACTGCTTCCAATGTGGCGCACCTATTCATTGATATAGTTTGCAAACATCATGGCCTACCTCACAGTCTTATTTCCGATCGTGATCCCATCTTCATTAGTCATTTTTGGCAAGAACTCTTTCGCCTTAATGGCACTAAGTTGCGTATGTCAACTGCCTACCATCCTCAAACGGATGGTCAAACAAAGGTTACCAACAAGGTATTGCAGCAGTACCTCCGTTGATTTGTACACCACAAACCATCACTTTGGGGCAAGTTTCTCTCTTGGGCAGAATAGAGTTTCAACACTTCAGTCAATACTTCAACTGGATTTACACCCTTTGAGGTAATGTTTGGCCGCAAACCTCCACTCATGCCCCCTTTGCTTCCAGAGGCAACTTCTAATGCAGCAGTGCAACATGAACTATCCACACGTGCTGAGATTCTTCAAAAGCTTGCCTCTAACTTGCAAAAAGCACAAGCAGCAATGAAGAAATGGGCTGACTAGCATCGAAGAGACTTACAGTTTGATGTTGATGATTGGGTTTACATTCATCTTCGTCGCCAATCTTCTGCAACAGACACTACCTCTGGGAAACTTATGAAACGGTTCTTCGGTCCTTTCAAAATCACAAGGAGAATTGGCGATGTTGCTTATGAAGTGGACCTTCCCCCTGCTGCCAAGATCCACAACACCTTCCATGTCAGCCTCCTCTGTCCTCACAAAGGACCGTTACCCTCTTTCCCCTTGCCACTCCCACCTGACATTGAGGATAATCAACCTGTATTAGAATCGGCTGCCATTGTCGACTGGAAATAGGATAATTCAATTTCTCCTCCAGAAATTCAAGTATTGATTCAATGGCAGGGCTTACCTCTTGAGGAAGCAAGCTGGGAACCTTGGCAGCAGATTCAACAACAGTTCCACCTTGAAGACAAGATGCTTATTGAACCAGGGGGAGATGTAAGGGTTGATGGGCCCATCCCTCTCACTCCTCCTACAAGCCTAAACACAGTAATTGCTCCAACACCTATAGCTAAGGCATCGTTAGAGGAAAGAGCCAAAAGAACCATACAGCAACCACGTTACCTAAAAGATTATGTGGTCACCTGTCCAGCACCTCGTAAAAAGGGAAATTCTGTTAGCAAGGAATGATTGGAATTATTATTGTATTTTCCTTTATTGTTATTTGCACATGATTAGTACTGCAAGGCAATCGGCCAAGTGCATATATAACACAGTATTGTAGTAGAAGGGTCGCAGAATATATAAAAAAGTATTTTCCTTCTCTGAAAAGCTTCTCTTCTTCTCTGAATATTCTCTTCTTTTTGGTTATTCCCCTTTCTGCTCCCTGTAGCATCCTTACAAATTTAATAAAAAAAGGTTAAAAATTAAATAAAAATTTATTTTTTAGAAAAGTATATTGAATTTAAAGTCCTATCTTAAAAATTAATTGTTTTTCAATTTAAATCAAAATTTATGTGTATATATGCAGTTTTATTAATGAAATTAGTTTTTCATTTGTACATGTACAACTATATATTTATTAAGTTTTAATGTGTAATTTATCTTTTAAAAATTTTACTTTTAGTCGTTACTTATCATTATTATTTTTGAGGGATACATATCAATATTTTAAAGTATTTATAAGTATGTTTTCTTAGATTTATTTAAAACTTCATTTTTGTATCATACTTTTTAGGTTAAATTTGTTTTATATAAAAAAATTCAATTAAATAATAAAATGATTTGTTTATAATATTATAATTAGATTAGAAAGAAGTTACAAAAGTTAAATTATTAAACTTAATGCAAACTGTTTTTAATGAAATTGAGTTAAATTTAAAATTTATTTAACTTATCCTCTGCCACTCTGTTGCATCTGAAAAGTGTCATTGTGAAAGTCGATGACAAAGTTGTCGTTACATTATTATGGAAATCAGTACTCTTTCGTTGTCTTGTGATTTGGATTGTAACTGAATGATGTTCGCAATTCGAGACCACATAATCATCAGGATGCCTAGGTCCCACCACTCACCATCTAACACAGTGTAGCTTTTCCATTTTTACTTCAAAGTATCCCCAAAATTATATTTGTTTGTTCTTTTTCCAACAATTCCTAAAATGTTTTTCGATTATAATTAGAGATCTAACGTTATACATGAGTGATCAAATCATACAAGCCAAAATTGAATTGAATCTCGAGATGCAAGATCAAGTTGAGTTTGGATTAGTGTTATGCATCCCCTAAAACAAGAAAATAGTCTGATTCTGATTGGTTATAGAGTAACAAACTATAGTACTCACTTGATATTTATTTAATGCGTTTTGGTATCCATTTAGAGTGTCTTGGTATCTCTTAATTAATGTACGTTGGTGCTTCTGGGTGAATCAGGTTTGGATTTCCAACCATGTGTGATTCTTAGTGCTTGCTTAATGTTCATTTCCAATGTGTGCACTTTCTGCAAAGCAATAGGCATCTGACCATGTTCATGGAGTGGGTCCTTTTATTTACCGTCTGTAAAATTTTATCATTTTAAATATTCACTCCTTGTTATAAATAATAGCTCGCAATCCAATCAGAAGTAGCTAGTAACTTATCAACAACGTTAGAATGGATTCATCACGTTTCAGAGAATCCCAGTCTAGGAGTGAGCAAGAAGCAAGTGAAGAAGATAACCTAACCCAAGATTGTAAGGAGCTTCTTCTCTCTCTTCCTAGAGAAAAAGGATGGAGAACCAGTTATCTCTATCTATTCCATGACTTTTGGTGTCCATCTAATCAATTCCAAGCCATCAACACTTTTATGAACCACTTTCAAGCAAAAGACACTGATATTATTGTGGCCACAACTCCAAAATCAGGTACTACTTGGTTGAAAGCTCTTACCTTTTCCATTGTCAATCGCCAGTGCTTCTCCATAGAGAACCATCCATTGCTCACTTCCAATCCGCACGAACTTGTGCCTTACTTTGAACACGACATTTATGCCAACAACCATGACCAAATTCCTCACCTACCCAACATGATTGAACCAAGGCTTTTTGGTACACACATTCCATTTCATGCACTGACCAAGTCAAGTAAGGAGTCCAATTGTAAGATAATTTATATTTGCAGGAACCTATTTGATACTTTTGTCTCTACTTGGATATTCAACAACAAAGTTAAGCAAGAGTCTTTACCAGACTTGACACTAGAGGAAGCTTTTGAAAGCTATTGCAAGGGGATAACTAATTATGGTCCATGGTGGAACCATATGTTGGGTTACTGGAAGGAAAGCATAGTTAGACCAAACAAGGTTTTATTCTTGAAATATGAGGACCTTAAAGAAGATGTTAGCTTTCAGGTGAGAAAAATTGCAGAGTTCTTGGGTTGTCCTTTCACTCAAGAAGAGGAAAGTAGTGGAATGATTGAAAACATAATCAAGTTGTGTAACTTTGAGAAGATGAAGGATTTGGAAGTAAATAAGTTTGGAAGAACTTTCAGCAGGGTTGATAATAAGAACTTCTTTCGGAAGGCTGAGATAGGTGATTGGAAAAATTACCTTTCCCCTTCAATGGTTGAAAAGTTATCCAAAATTATAGATGAGAAATTTAGTGGATCAGGCCTGTCATTTAAGGTGCACTCTTAATATTAATAGCTAGATAGCACTATCATCTAATACAATGTATGTAAGTGGCTACCCAAGATCTTTGCTTGTTGCTGTAATGTGAAGCACAAATGTTGTGCCCTTTTCTTTACCTTAGTAATTCTTCAACGATCATGGTGATGAGAAATGCGTTTGTGTGCGATTTGAATGTTCAAATGGCTTGTTCTCTTTACAGATTTTGTAGTTTCAAGTATTCAATGGCAAAATTTATAAATTTTTTTTGTCGTTAATCTGGATTAAATTCAGTGACTAATTTGTCATGTTAGCGATTAAATAATTGATCAAATTACAATATTATCTTTGAAATAAAAAAATTGGACAATAAATAATTTATTACATTTTAGCGACTGGTCGATTTTATATTTAAATTTTGCTATGAAATAATAGTTGACTCAATTTTTTCATATTTTATTTTATTATAAAAATCATGAATTGCTAAATTGGTCACAAATTGTGACCCATTTTATCCTGTCGTTAAATTTGATCACTAATCAATTTTTTTTAAGTGCGTTGCAGCTTTCTATAGATTTTTCTAAATAAGGTTTCAATATATGTGTGTTGAAAAAATTGTATTGTAATGGAAAACACATAAATTTAATCACTCGGATGCCAACATCACAGCTATTTTTGAAACAAATACCATAATAGTTTAGTAAATCCATTAATTGATACATAAATAATTAACTGTTAGAAAATATAGTTATTTAGAAAAACATATGATAAAGAAATTTCTTGAAAAATGTTATGTTGTAGCCTGTGGAGCTAATTGTCCATTTTTTTTTATCGTGTTCTGTTTGTTTTGCCGAATGTTTAATTAGGATCTAGTGTCATGGTTTCTGGGTACCGAAAGACGTAGCACTGAATGTTCGATGCAATTTCCTCTTAATTTACAATTTAGAAAATTGTTAATAATTCTCACTAAATAAAGATTAAAGAAACATATCTAAATTTATTGTAGTATATTTTTCAATTTTACTTGTGGTAACCAACTGATTGGTTTTCTTAAAAAAGTTTTTTTTTGAAAAATTAAAATAGATTATCATCAATTCTGTTATTTATATTAAAGATTAATAATCAACACATTAAATTATTTTTAATTAAAATATTATATTATTTAATTGAATTAAATGATCTAACTCCAAAACAACTTATCACATACGTACAATATTTTTTGACCGACTAATGTTTATTTCACACAATTATATATTAACCCTTGCCATATATAAGAGAAAAAGAAAGGAAAACGTGACAGTTCTGATGAGATAAAAAATATACAAGAGAGACAAAGAGAAAATTAATATAAATAGATATTAAAAATTAGTGATAAAATATCATGTTTATTTCATATACTTTTTTTTTCATAATCTCTTTTACAATATTAAATTATTATTTATTCTTAAATAATCCAATCACTCAATACAAGTAAGGAATATAATTGTTTAGGTAAGTACAGTGTGATCTTTATGGTTACAAAGAAATAGAATTGTCTTTTCTAATGATGTTTTGGATGAGAGAGAAGTCTTAGATTCTATTATTCTAAAGTCCTGGAAATGACTATCACTTGTTAGTAAGGGAGAAACTATTTTGTTAGCTGATTGGTATTTGAACCCACGAAATTATATCCGTCTTAACTTTGTATCTTTTTATTTTTCTGAGTAAGTAATTTTTCTCTGTGTATAAGGGTTTTGAGTTCCCTTGAACTCTCTCTAATAATATTTGTTTTACCTATAAAAAAAAAACTCAATACAAGTAAGGAAATCTTTTACAAAATAACTATTTTTTATTTTTAAATATATATTTTATAGTAGATATTTTTATTCAAGAGATAATATATGTTAAATATTTTTTTTGTTAAACATTAATATTTTATTAATAACAAGTTCAGAGCATAAAGATATTCCAACATGTTACAATTCTAAAAAGAATTAACAACACATGTCAATGGATCACTAATTTAATTTACATACACAATTTATCTTCCCAAAGACTTTGCTGCAAGCCACTTTCAAGAACGATATTTAATAGAATCAAACATTTTACTAGCATTTAATACACTGTTATTAAAGAGTATTATTCTGCTGAAGCCAAGTTATCTATATTATCACAAATCATACCATTACAACTCATCTCTATTTCTTTTTTCTACATTAAATTCCACACATGCTCATTAATACCTATGCAAATTTTTAGGTAAACATAAACTAATATTAAACCATTCAAACCCTATGTATCACAGTCTCATAGAGATACTGTAATGCAAAAGAAAAAAAATGTAACATTTTCTCATTTTCGGTATCACACAACCCATAAGCTTTTGAGGAAATCATTAATCCATGTTTGGTCAAATTCTACTGCATTAGTCAGTAGATGCCAAAAGCATTGAGATGCAAAAAGGGAAGCAAGGATAAATGTACCATGTCAAAATAAGAAAAATACAAGGACTCCTTTAGACCTAGTTTGGCTAATCTATCAACACATTTGTTAGCCTCTCTACATTTATTGTCAAATTTAATGAATTTAATACACTTTAATAAGTCCTTAAAATTTTCAAACACTTTAAACAGTGGGTGAAACTAAGACTAAATATTCAAAATTAGAAAAACAACCTCCTTACAATCACTCTAAATTCAGACAATGTGGTAACCCTTCAGTATAGCTAGTTGCAACTTATAAAAGATGTTGTAAAATTTAGCTTCAAGAGGGGATAATAGGCAATTTTGTTGTAGAAACTAATTAAGAATTGACTTTTACTATCGTGAAATAGTCCTCCACAAGTAGCTTCACCATGAGACAAGGAGACAACACCATCTACATCTAGGTTTATATATATGGTTAGGAGGAGAAGAAATTCACTTAACTTTAGTTTGGTCATACACAAGTTCTAGAAGGTAATTGGAATTGCCCCTATAGTTAGAGAACTTATAATAAAAATCACACAGAATCTTGTGAATGAGGAAGTTAGGCTAGATAGAAGAATTTTGAAAAATAAAAGTATTCCTATGTTTCCATAAATGTCACATAATAACCCTAAAAATTCTGTATCAAGCAAAAAATTTACTAAAGTTGTGGTTAGATAAATTAAATAACAACCAATCTAGAGTACTTTTATTGAAAAAACACACCTATTGACGAAGAAAAAAAATAGTGTTTTCATACTTTTTTAGCATAAAAATAGTTCTAATAACATATATAATAGTTTCATAGGCATCTCCACATCTAAGACAAATAAAAGAATCAATTATGCTTCTTTTACACCTCTCCTTATTAGTAAAAAGTTTTTCATAGACAACTTTCCCAAAAAAAAAAAAAAAGAAGACAATTTTAGGAGAGCCATCTCCAAGCCAAATTAGCTTAAAATCCTTATGGCTACAGTTAGAATCTTGAAATAATTGATATGCTAACTTCACATAAAAGACACATTTATTTGTCATATTTCAGAAAATAGAATCTGAATTCCTAAATAGAGCAAGTGGAGTAATAAGGTCTATAGCCTTACAAATCTATTTAAGAAGCAATTTTGATATCTTATCCCAATCCTAGACACATGTAGAAGAAAATAAAGTTACAAAAATGTCCAAATCAACTTCGGACACATGGTATAGAGAATGAATAAATATTTAGTAAAGTGAGGGTTCTAATTATCAATGCAGAGTTTAATGGAGATTCCATCTTCAATAGTCCAACTTATCCCTAGATTAAATAAAGGGAGATTAAACTTTTTCATAAATAGGAAACCTTTAAACTCTTTCTAAGGTAAGGGGATTGATCAAGAACAAATTTGTATTTATTACTAAAAATTTGGGCCCAAAAAGAGTATTTTGAGAGGTGATTAGCTTCCACCGCAACTTCATTAAATAAACTCTATTAAACATCTTAAGGTCTCTAAATCCAAGACTATTTTCTATTAAGCTTGCAAATTTTCTACTACCTTATTAAGTGACACTTTTTGTCTCTCAAAGAACTTCAAATAAACTATTTACAAATACTATTGATTTCATTACAAGAAGTAAACATATTAATAGTTTACATAACATAGGATGAGATATTCATAAGACAGGATTAAAAGGATTTCTTTAAAACATGCTCCTTTGAAAACAAAATTTTTAGTAAAATATTTAAATCATAATTAATTTTTATTTTAAATACTCAAACTTATTTTTGAAATATAAATTATCTCATATGATTTAAGATTTTTATTTTATCTTAATTTTAGTTGGTGTATCATGAACAAGAAACTACTCTTTAGTACATTGTGTAATATATGGGCATTTTATTTTAAAATAAATAAATATTTAATTAAAAAATAAATATATATTTTTCTTTCATTCATCTTCTCTTCCAATTAATCGTGGCAATTTAAAATTATAAGTTTTTTAAAGTTATGAAAATTTTTAAAATTGTAAGAATTCAAAATCGCAACAAATTAGGTTCCAACAATCACATCTTGTTCTGAGACCAAAATAATTATAAAATTTTTAAAATTGTGACAATTTTAAACCATGGCAACTTGTCTTACCTACTTCGTGCAACTTGCCAACACACACATGTTAAACATGCAACAGGTTTATCATGCAAAGTGAAAGATTACATATGTAACTAGAAAAATATTTTTTTAAATAATATTATTTTGATAAATAGTTTATTAAAAAGTACATTTTTGATAAATAAGCCAATTATATATGTATAATTAAATTTAATTATTTAAAAATTAATCTTACATTTTAAAAAAGTTATAAAAATTTATATAACTATTAAATAAATTTTTCCGATACCCTTATAATTTTAACCAATGAAATTGTGACTTAGTTTTTAACGATGTTATGTCATAATTTTTTATTTTTAATTTAGACCATACAAATTATATATTTATTTTACAAAATAATGCTTTATCTAGCTCCTTTTCTCCTAAATCCAATAGTTCTACAAAACAAAATATGCTCAGGTGGCTTCAACATAACTTCTACTCGTAGGATCCAATTTCA